CACCCCAAGCCACGGCTCATTAGAGCCAGACGTGGAATGACACCAGGGATGAACTCGTCCACAAAGTCGGCCAGAACCTAGCCCTTGATTGTTGTTCTAGGCCTGAATTCCAAGTCATATTGGCCCAGTATCACTGCCCATCTAGCTACTCTTCTTGTTAGATCTCCATGCTGCTATCGGGTTTCAAGGGATGCTTAGTCCGTACCATAATCTTGTGGGCTTGGAAATAGTGATGCAATTTTTTGGAAGCCATCACTAAGGCTAGTGTTAACTTCTCCAAGGGCAGGTATCTAGGTTCTGCACTTGCAAGGGTTTTACTCACATAATATATCGTCTTTTGTTCTCCCTCCTCTTTTCGGATTACCACTGCACTCATTACGTGGTCTGAAATTGCCAAATATAGGAACAACTCTTCTCTAGGTATTGAATTTGACAGAACTGGAGCTGTTGTCAGATGCTTTTTTAAGTTGGCAAAGGCGACTTCGCACTCTTCTGTCCACAAAAAATCTATATCCTTTCTTAACAAACTTAAAAATGGTTTACACTTATCAGAACTTTGGCTGATAAACCTGTTCAGGGCTACCGCCTTGCTGGTCAAAATTTGGACCTACTTAGCTGACGTTGGGCTCTTTAAGTTAGGAATGGCCTTGATTTGATCTGGGCTTGCCTCAATGCCCCTTCTAGTGACCAAGTATCCCAGGAACTTACCAGACCCGACTCCAAATGCACATTTTGAAGCATTGAGTCGGGGCTGATATGTTCTTAGGATATCAAAAACTGCCTTTAAATCGGCCAGATGGTGCCTAGGTTCCTTGGTCTTCACGACTATGTCATCAATGTAGATTTTTACTGTTTTTCTAATTAGATGCTTAAACATCTTGGTCACTAATCGCTGGTAGGTTGCTGTTGCATTTTTTAACTTAAAAGGCATTACCCTGTAACAATAGAGTCCTTTTAGGATGATGAATGTTGTCTTCTCTTCATCTGGGGTGTACATTGCTATCTGATGGTAGCCTCTGTATGCGTCCAAGAAACTCATCCTCTTATCCCCTGAAATGGCATCTACTAACTGATCAATCTTAGGCAGTGAGAAACTGTCTTTAGGGCAAGCCTTATTCAGGCTGGTAAAGTCCACATAGACCATCCACTTGTCATTTTTCTTTTTCACTACCACTATATTGGACAACCAGGTCGGATAGTGTACTTCTCGGATGGCCTGGGCTTCTAGCAGCTTGTCTATTTCCTCCCCAACTGCTTCCACATATACTAATGTTGGCCTCCTTGCCTACTAGATGACAGGTTTAGCCGACTTGTCAACGTTAAGCTTGTGGCAAATGACCTCGAGGTTGATGCCTAGCATCTCATAGGGCATCCAAGCAAACACTTCTATGTTTGCTCGCAAGAAGGCTTCTAACTTTCTTGCCGAGAAGGAAGAAGCGCTCTCCATCATCTTCTTGGACCAGAATCTTCTTTAAAGCCTTTTCACTTTTGTCAGTTGGTTATTTGTCAACATCATCCAGGACCTCCATGTCCTCGTCTTCAATTTCAACTGTTTCTACTTCTCGCACATTGTAGGTGGACTTTATTGCTGTCATGGAGTAATTTTTTACTTGTACCTGATCCCCTTTGACCTCCTCAATACCATGTTTGGTTAGAAATCACAATAGCTGGTGCAATGTTGAGGGAACAACCCTCATGGCATGCAACTATGGTCTGCCCAAGATAACATTGTAAGAGGAGGGAGTGTCAATTATTGTAAACTCTGTGTTTACCTTCTTGGTGCCTGCCTGCACCTCCAAATTCGTGGTACCTAGAGGCCATGTTGGCGTTCCATTGAATCTAACCATTGGGTTGTTTGATTGTTTTAGATCATTTGGGTAAAGGCCAAGCTCCTTGTAATATCTAACATACATGATGTCACAAGAACTTCCTTGATCAATCAGTATGCGCCTTACTTGGCACTCTCCAATCTTCAGCGTTATCACCAGGGCATCATTGTGTAGATGTTACACCATATCCAGGTCTGCTTGAGTAAAAAAAAACCATTGGCCCTTAGTACTCATTTGTCCTAGGCATCTTTTGCTGGACCTGGTACACATGCTGTAGGTGCCTTACCCTCTGAGTTTTTCCACGTACATCATTCTCATTGACCTTCGAGTGAATCACATCGATCACCCGAGGTCCATCTACTTACTATGGTGGTGATGGTGGTGGAGGTGGTGCTACTGGTGCCTAAGGTAGCCTTGCTTGCTCTTCCCTTGTTCTAGCCTCGTTTATTAGGTCTCTCGGCTGACCCTGTTTGACCAGATCCTCTAAGTGCGTCTTTAGAGCCCTACATCCCTGAGTTAAGTGCCCATCTTCATTATGGTAAGCATAATGCTTCCCAAGGCTCCTTCCCTTAAACTTACTAGGGATCTTCTCCGATGCTCTATAATACGGTTGGTTCCTAATCCTTTCAAGAACTTTGTAGATCGGGATTCTGAATACAGTGGTGACTGTTTGTGCAACCCTCAATCCTATTTCCTATCTATTGAAACCAGTGTTACCTTAGCCTCGCTTCGGCGAGCCATTTCTCTTCTCCTGCTTTAGTGCCTTTGCTCCATGTGTATCTTCCTCTGCTTTGGCATATTTCTCAATTCATGCCATGAGCTCCTCCATACTCTTTGGTAGAGTTTTTGCAAGTGACTTTCGAAGTGGACATTCATCCTTCAGGCTGTTTTTGAAAGATACGACCGCTAGCTCTTGGTTGCATGCCAGTATTCGGTTGAACACCTCATAATACCATTTGGCATAAGCCCTGAGGCTTTCACCCTCGCTAATGTTCAAAGTCAGCAGAGAATCTACACTTAGTGGCTGCAACTTATTTGTTACAAACCTAGCCACAAACATCTCGAACAGGCCTTCCCAACTCTTCATAGTTCCTTTCGGTAACTTGTGTAATCAATCTGATGCGCTTTCCCTAAAGGATGAAGGGAACATCTTGCTTAGCAATTGCTCATTCCCGTTATACAAAGTCATTGAATTTAAATATAAGCTGACATGAAAGTTCAGATCAAACTTACCGGTATAAACTTGGAACCTCGGCATATGGAATCTCCCTGGGGCCTTAAATCTATCCAACTCCACTGAGAACAATGTTCTCAACTTGACGGGGGATATTACTTTGGCGTGGAGTCGCTTCCTCTAAAGGTAGTTCCTTAGATCCTCCTTCGTTCGGTCGGGAGCTCGGCTATCAATAGATTTAAGCATTTTTGGCGTGCTGTTCCCAGCGTTTGTGCGTCCTTTTAGACTTCTCTTCATTCACTGCATCAAAGCAAAGTCCCTTTTCCTGGATATGTTGAGGTTTTTTGGCATAGGTTCCCTTGGTTCGTGGTGTCCTCTGTGACTCACCTCTCACTGACTCTAGTCGCTCGACATCCCGTGAAGGCTAATGTGAGCACTCTTTTTCCTTGCCATGCTGCGGGACTGCTGGGATTGTTTTCTCCCCCCCTTTCTGGGTGTTAGTCTTGGCCGCTGGTACCGGCGTGTCCTACAATGGGAATAGTGGGTACATCACATTGTTCTGCATCATGAAGTTGACAACCAATTGTAGGTCTGCCAAGTTGTTTGCCATTTTTTCATCTCGCCGTCCCTTTTCAGGCTTTATCCTTCCATACTTGAAGGTCGCTTTCGTTATAATACTAATCTTGGCCTGCTTTCTTCGGGGCATTCCACTCTTTGCCGACGTCTTTCTCCCTAGGATTGGGATCATGTGCTTCTTCAGTAGGGTTTTTTTTCCTGACGTTAAGATCTGCATGTTCATAACTTTCACTGTTAATGCCATCCCCAATCTTTTCTTCCTGTCCGTTGTTGGCAATCTATTATCTTTAAGTTCCCACAGAAGGCGCCAAATTGTGGGTATTGATTTCCGACCACACAACCAAAAGGGGAACTCTGCTGGAGAGCATTGGCAGAATAGATTAAGCCCAAAAACCTGTAACAAGAAGATGAGAATCTAGCGGTAGTTCATCCACCCAAGGACACTCCGACAATCAAGTCAGTAATCAACATCTCTCAAAAATAGCAAATTGTGCTTAAACTCACAAGAAAGAACTTCTCTCAGATCCACGATGGCGTCTTATTTTTATAACCAGCAGTGACCTGATCCCATTAGAAGCCTCACTTCAATGGACTCAAGCTTAATACTCATCTTGGACCCTCATCTGGATAGAGATAAACTCTTCTTGAGTCTTATCTCTATCTAAGCTGAGATCCTTCTCTGTTTTAGGACTCCTGTCCCTTATCTGCTTATCTCGGATTTTAATATCTCCGCAGAGAATCCTGGCCTAGCCGAAATTATCTCGGCGAATGACCAAGCCACGTGGTATCTCGGCTGACATTTCGGCGTGACCTTAGCCACATGCTATCATTCACAAAATACGTCCCCACAGCACCCATAATTTATCTCATACCATCAATCTTTCTTTGTTAGCCCTATACAATGGGACAGATTAAAGATTATTATTGTAGAAGTGTAAATTTTTATAATTTTTAATTATTTTAGATTAATATAAAATATTTTAAAGATTTCTGAGAGTGTGATCGTCCCTACTCGCACCATCCTAGATCATACAACCAATGAACCCACCTTTGGCACAATTAGGAACATGGCAATGGCCAGTGACATTGAATCTTTTCCGTTCCTGTCAGTAGACAATCAACAGACAATTGTTGATCCCTTTTGTTGTTAGCGACCAACCAAGTTCGCCTTGATATCTTTCTCTTCCTTTTTTTTTTTTTTTTCCCTATTATCTCCATTTTTTGCACTAAATTTTTTTATAAAAAAAAGCTGAGGCCATTTAAGCAATATTAAGAAATAATTTCACGCCAAAACCATCGTGATTGTCGGATATGCATGATATTGTCGACCAGACATGAATAAAGTTATTATACGTATAAAAACCACATGACCATATCAACGTTCCATTACATATACACCATCTTATTGCGTTGGCAGTCAAACAATCCAGCGGTTTACGTGAATGATTCACGGGTCTTACGTTCTATTCAATTCTCTGCACTCAATTGTGTTTGCTTTTTTCTCTCGCAGTTCTGGTTTTTCCTTCTCTTTCTCCGACTGTCCGAGAAAATAGCTGATCGATTTATAAAGACAGAAAATTGTAGCAGAGAGAGAGAGAGAGAGAGATGGAAGGAGACAGGAGAGTGGGTGTGGCGGTGGATTTCTCGGCGTGCAGTAGGGAAGCACTGAAGTGGGCGGTGGATAACATTGTCCGGAAGGGGGATCACCTTATCCTCGTCACCATACGCCCCCACGTTTACGAAGAGGGCGAGATGCAGCTCTGGGAAACCACCGGCTCCCGTACATTTCCACCTCTCTCTCTCTCTCTCTCATATTATACATGTGTATATATGTATGTATAATGCATCTCTATATATCTTTGAAAACCTTGGCTAGATCTTTGGTTTTCAACGTGACGAAAGTATCCCAAGGTTCAAGCATTAGCGGCCGCTCAAGTTTTCAAAGATCTCAAACTAAACATTAAAATAAGATCCTTTTTTTTAAATAGTTAATAATCCGATAATAAGAATTTTTTATAAAAAAAACTTATCGGTCTTTGACTCAAGCATTAAGCCACTTAATCTGTTGTCTAAAGGTCCTAATTTTAAAAAAATAAAATAAAATCTTATGGTACAAGTACTTGATTTTTTGTTATCTAAAAAAAATATTCAAATTTTGAAAGTCTATTAAGGCTTAATGTGTTGGTATGAGAAAACCTTGGGCCATGACTGCCGTAAGTGACTATATGATTGAGCCATTTTTGAGTTGAAGAGCACCACCAAGTCATGTTCCATGGGCATAGAATAACTTCACTAAAGAGGACCATTCCAAAGTTTTGTTTTTGGTTTAATCACATATTTTCAAAGTATGATTTTTGTGTCATTTTTGTCTCTAATAGATAAAATTTGTTAATTTGGTCTCCAATGTATAAAAAATGTTTCAATTTTTTTAATGTCCAAATTGTGTCAATTTGATCATAATATATAAAAGTGTTTCAATTTATCATTGACTTTAACGGCTCCACAAACTGTAATTTTTAAATTGAGTTTTTATTTCTCTCATTTTAACTTATTCAAATAGGTAACATGAACAAAGAAAAATAAAATGTAGTTCTTTTCTGTTCTTCCAAAATCACCCAATCCAAATGGTCTGTAAGTATATATTTATGTGTTTGATGCATTTTTGGCAGCCCTAATCCGTATGAGTGATTTCTCTGACCCCAACCTAATGAAGAAATATGGGGTGAAGACTGACCCTGAGACTTTGGATATTGTCAACACTGCTGCTAGGCAGAAAGAGGTGCACTTTCCTCCCCATCCCCCTTCTAATTTCATAATAGAGAAATTTCTCAAATTTTTTTGAGAAATTCTAAACCGAATTAAACCAAGTATTTGTATGTGTGCTTGTGCGAACAGCTTGTGGTGCTTTTGAAGATCTACTGGGGAGATGCTCGGGAGAAGATTTGTGAGGCGGTTGATAATATTCCTCTCACATGCCTTGTCATAGGGAATAGAGGGCTCAGCACGCTCCAAAGGTCAAATTCTTATGAGATTGCTCTTTGTTTATAACTGAAATTGCCAATTTTGCAACATTGAACCATTTTGATGTTTGGACTTCGTTTTAGAGTCTCGTATTTTTTTGTTTTTTGTATTTTTGCCAAGGCCTGAATTTTATTGAAATCAATTCCTTAGAATTACAATCCTGGTTTGGCTAACCTTAATTATTGAAGAAGTTCATACATCATATTGTGGCAGTGTTCTCAAAATGGACAATGTGGGGTGGGGGGGATGGGGCGTTTGACAAATAATTTTTGGGAAATACTATAGGTGTAAAAAATGTTAGCATGACCCATAATTTTGTCGCAACTTTTTTTTTTCCCTTCAAATTTGGTCCTTTTTTAATTAAAAAAAAGGGGGGGCCTTCTCGTTTAGAAGAACCTAAAAGGTACCTGACAAATTTTTAAAAAATTTACTAAAAACAATGAAGTTTGGAAAAAAATTTTTTGATAGCCCATGAGGGCAATATTATATGGAGTAAAGACAATAAAAACATAATTAGGAGACAAACACTTGGTACTTTACGAGTGAATTTCTATGGAAACATAATTTGTATAAAAAATTATGGAAACATAATTTGTGTCAAAAAAATACAAACATAATTTGTACATAAACTTTTATGGAATGATGTGGATTTCTATGTTATTTTCATTTCAAGCCAAATCATCATCATTGTTGCTCAAATTTACAAAAATGCTATATCATTGTGTGCACGTTTTATTTTATGTATCAAAATGCTACTGTCTAAAATGCTACTTTAATGTCACTTTATTGATGAGAATGATTAGTTTTAGGGTTTGGTTTGATGTTCAATTTGCAGGGCTCTCATGGGCAGTGTTAGCAACTATGTGGTGAACCATGCTTCTTGTCCGGTTACAGTCGTGAAGCACTCTGATCATGACTGATATATGCTGCTGCAATGCAGTGTCTGATTAGGAGTACTCCTATAGGTCGCATGAATGAATTTGTATCCATTGGGTCAGACTGTTTTTGTAACTTGATTTTTGGATTTTTGGATTCAAGTCATGTATATTTTGCATGTGTGTGCAATGCTTGTTTTGTAAGCTATAACTCATCTCCCATGGTGGGGTTGTTCTTTGCTCCAATTTGGTACTGTTTGATGGAGGAATAAATTTTGTTTCTGTGCTCTAATAATATGGCTGTTGCTGTTGTAGCTCTGTCTATTATTTGGTGTTATTTTGGGACAACTTCAATGACACAAACTCACTCTAATAACAACCATTAGAATTGTTGTTAGTATTGAAAAATATGTAAAATGTGTATTGAAATGTACAAAAAGAAAAATGCTATATGTCTTAAATTTTTTACTAAATGAATGACCAAATGTCTCATATGAGTGTTTGGTTCATAAAGGTGTGGACCCTATACTCATATGAGACATTTGATTATTTATTTAATAAAAAAATTGGTATCCCTAGTATTACCCATACAAAAATACATACTAGTGTTTTGAGATAGTAAAAAATATATTGAAATTACAAATATTTTAACGTTTTTTTTTTTTGGTTTTTAATGACTGTTCTTTTGATATTGCAATCTATCAAATTTTGATCATAATGTTGTGTATTATGTTTTGTGAATTGTGTATAAAGTGATACGACTTGAAATATTACGCGAACTTTATAATAACATATACATATTTAGAATCTAAACACACGTGTGATGTGTGTAGAAGTAAAAAAAAAAAAAAAAAGATTGTAACTATCATTTAGTCAAAATTTGAAATTAAAAATCTGGGTAGCTAGCTATGAAGGTCATTTAGGTATTAAAAAAAATCCATAACATAGCTTCGCAAATGATAAAACTCTCAAGCCTATCTTGAAATTTCATATCTTATCTTTGTGCTATTCTCTTTGAATGGTTTATCATGACCCTCAATCCTTAATGAGACATGATGCGAAATATATATATATATTTTTAAAATAATTTTTATTAATTTTTTATATTAAAATTCAAGTCATTAAAATTTTGGAGGTTTGTCGTAAACCTCTCCTATTGAGATTTTAGTTAGAGGGAATTTTTTAAAGTCCTTGTAAGATAGATTTTTGTGTGGACCTTTAGACACATGAAAGAATTTTTTTGACCTTTACAATTGGGGCCTTCAAATCATAAGAGTTTTTTTTTATGGGCTCTTGACAAAGAAGTCTACCATGAGTAGGAAACGTGTTTTCAATATCGTGAATCATTTAGGTCAAGTTTGGCATGATTGAAAAAAGATAAAAAATCAAAAAGTCACTATCCTATTTAAGTCACACCATCTTATTTAAGTCACATCACCTCTCTAACACATCACTTCAAACCCAACCCAAACTCAACCCATATTTCATAAAAAATCAAAAAGTGCACTTATTTAGTCTTCCCAAACTAGGACTCTGTTTTCTCATTCACTGCCAATTATTATAGCTTTAATTTCGTACTTCGACCATTGCTTTAATAGAAGTTTTAGACCCTTCGAAAGTTAGATGTAGAACACCATTAATGTTATGTTTGATTGGGAGATTTGGAGAATGATTTAGAAAGGGAAAGGAAAAAAGTATGTGAAATTAGGTAAAATTTAAGTATATTTTATTCATATTTCACCTACCTTTTCTATTTTCCTTTCCAAATTTCTTCTTAAATCCCCCAACCAAACACAGTATAAAGGTTATGTAGTTGTGTGCTCACATAATAGTGTTGGAAAAATAGTTTAAATATAGGCATATTTTTTAGCCCAAAATTGAGTGGGTCCAAATGTCTTTTGGGGTGGGTCCGAAGAGGTGACGTGTTCCTTACCGCGTGGCAAGTCATACGGTGAAGACGGAACGTCAAAACCATTTATGAGTGAATTGGAAGTTGACGTCGTTTTCGGGTTTAACATTAATTTTTTAGATAAAAATTCTTTTGAATTTTTCAATAAAAATTATTGTGGGAATTTAATTTAATTCTAAATTCAAATTTTGGGTTCCTAAGTAGTTTCCTAAAGTTTGTAATTGTGGGAATTTAATTTAATTCTAAATTTAAATTTTGGATTCCTAAGTGATTTTCTAAAATTTATACCTCTTACTTTATTTATTAAACTATTCAATTTGTTTAATATATATATATATATATATATATTGAATAGTTTAATATATATATATGAACAGAAGGCCAAGGAGGAGGATTATCCTTTAACCTATCAAACAGGGGTTGACAGACTTTCCTAAGGTCTTTATAAAATTCAGCAATGTAATTAAGTGATCCTAAGAATCTTTGTAATTGGGTTTTATCAAGAATTTCATCAGGAAATTTAGACGCAAACTCAATAGAGTGACTAATGGGGAGAATAGTATTATGATGAATATCGTAGCCTAAAAATCGAACCTTGGTTTGAAATAACTTAATCTTAGGAGCAGATATGACTAAACCATGACTTTTAATTGTATAGAAGAAAGCAGTTAAATGTTTCCAATGGTCATGAATTGATTTGGAAAAAATTAATATGTCATCAATGTAAACAATTGAAAAATGACTAAATGGGTTGAATATATCATTCATATAGCGATCCCGGTTGTCCCTTTACTGCTCTGTTGTATTCCGGACTCAGTTCCGTGGAGTTAGTAGTTGTATCTATCTTGTTGTCGTCCTTTAATTCCATTTGTTTGAGTTATAGGATGTGTTGGGCTTGTTTCGAACAGGTGGGTTGAACCTTGGTCTGAAATCTTGTTGCCAGGTTTTTGGTCGTTCCGCTAGAGCGAGTCTTGTTGCGCTCGAGCGGATATTGCACACTCCCAATTTTTTTCGTGTCCCTGCAAAAATTCTGCAGGTGTGATTTTTACGCTCGAGCAGTGGCGCTCGAGCGGGTACTCTGGCGCTCGAGCGGGTAGTACCTTTTTGGTGTAAGTTTTGGGAGGGGGAAATCTACGCTCGAGCGGACTGATTTTCACGCTCGAGCGGATGTACTTTATTCTTGTGTCTTGGCGCTCAAGCGGGCCTTATTACGCTCGAGCATACCTAGTTTTTTTTGTTCTTGACGCTCGAGCGTTGTGTTCTACGCTCGAGCGGGAATGTCGTATATCAGTTGGCAACTGGTCATTTTAAAATCACTTTTTACATTCTCTCTCTCTCTCTTACTTTCTAAAAAGACATTTTGAGAGTTCCTCTCTCTAGAAACTCCCTTCTCTCTAGGGTTTGATTTAGTTAGAGTGTTTCCTTTGCCTTTGGCCTTTGTAAAAGTTGGGTCGATCGTCGAGGGCTATCCATTGATCCGAGAATATTGAGTTTTGGAGCACGTTGAGTTTCTTCACCTTCTTTCCTTGAGCTCCGAATTTGAGTAGGATTCCTACTCACTCTTATGGGTTTTTAACCTAGATTTTGAGCTTATTGTTTAAATGGTTGATTTTGGGACTTAGGGTTTCAAAATGTGTTAAAGAGGGTTTTGTGATTTTGGGCTCATAATATGTATTTTAGGTTTCAAAATGATGATATATTGTTGGTTGGTGATATTTGAACCTTTGAGTTGATATTGAGAGTTGGGAGTAAAAGCCCTAATTTGTTGTTTAAAATTAATATGTATAATTAATTTGGAAAAATGTAGCTATATGGAATTGAGTTGGAAATAATGAAATTGGTTCATTATATGGTAGAATAGTGGAGTTAGATTTATTAATCGCTCACTTTTGAAAACATTGATATTTTATCTGTTGGAGCTTTTATTATCTGTTTAGAATAATTGCTTGGGCTACCGGTGGAGGGTAGTTTTGATTGTTGTAGACAATGCATGATGATTAGGCAAACTAAAACTAATCAATTGGATATATCATAGAGTATGACGGTTGATAGAATACATTAACGTTATGTATTGATTGATTGTGTATATGACTTTTTGTGTATATACGTTGTGTGTGGGGGGAGGAGATAGGGGATGTACTCCACGGTTTAGGGAAAGATAGGGGATGGACCTCTAAACCGGATTTTGTTTGGGAGGAGATAGGGGATGGACTCCATTAGCATCACTTTTATGTGTGCTTCTTTATATAGAAGTGTTTTATTGGATGTTAATTTGTATCTTTCTAAGAATGTACAGGAAAGTATTTCTCAATTAGAGTATGCCCAAATTATTGAAAGCTTAATGTACTTGATGAACTGCATGCGCCCAGATATAGCTTATGCAGTAAATAAATTAAGTAGATATACAAGTAATCCGGGAGTAGAACATTGGAAAGCTATGATAAGGGTTCTAAGATATCTCTGATTTACTCGTAACATTGGGCTTAATTATACTAGATATCTAGCAGTACTTGAAGGATACTGTGATGCAAATTGGATATCGGATACTAGAGACTCGAAGTCCACCAGTGGGCATGTCTTTACTCTTGGTGGGGCGGCTGTATCTTGGAAATCTTCCAAATAGACTTGTATTGCTAGGTCTACTATGAAATCTGAATTCATAGTTTTAGACAAAGCAGGGGAAGAGGCAGAATGGCTTCGCCACTTCCTTGAAGATATTCCAATATGGCCAAAACCGGTGCCTGCTATATGCATACATTGTGATAGTCAATCAGCAATTGGTAGAGCACAGAGTCATATGTATAACGGTAAGTCTCGACACATTCGTCGTCGACATAATACCGTAAGACAACTACTCTCTCATGGAATTATGTCCATAGAATATGTTAAGTCTAAAGACAACATAGCGGATCCACTAGCCAAAGGGTTAGTAAGAGAGTTAGTTGAGAATTCATCGAGGGGAATGGGACTTAAGCCTATTAAATAAGAGTTACCACAACGGCAACCCAACCTAGTTGACTGGAGATCCCAAGATCTAGGTTCAAAGGGACAACCGAGTTGTGATTGACTCAGAAGGATCACTGTGGAGTCCAACTCCTACCCATTTCTATGATGAAATAAGTGATGTCTGCAGCGATTTAGGTTCAGTAATACTTTTAATGATTCTTATATCTAGGTAAACCTAATAGAGTATGGCAGGATACTTTTCATAAGAATCACCTATGTGAGTGTGAACTGGGCCGGTTCTATAGGATTTGTGAAGGGCTACAAGTCTTCAGAGCACTCATGAAGACCAGGTTGTTCAGGGCCAAAATGAACACAATAGTGAGAACTAAACTATGACTGAAAATATACTGTGTGAGTTCTATTGTCTTGGTTTACACAAA